TATTTCATTACATTGCTGGAATTCATCACAAAAATAGCAGCTGTTTTTTCTCAGAATAAACAACAACGACCCAGCCTGTTGGCCAGGATATAAAGAGACATCACACAAGTACTGAAAAATCAGGATTTTAATTCTAATACAGTAATCATACCAACAGCTTCACAGGCACTTAGACTCATTAAAATCTGCTTAATATCAACAGACTGTGATTACATAGAGCAGCATAGACTTGTTGCATTACAATTAAGTTTTATGAGCTAAAGGACTAAAAAAAGGCTCCGTTACTAGCCATGATATGAACTGAAGGGACACATTACTTAGACAAGAATTCTGTGACTGAAACATACCCATATTTGTTCCTTAGTATGTATACAAAAAAACTATGTTTATCTTGTTTGGTTGTATTTCATTGGTGCCAGGATCACACTGACCAGCACAATACTGATTATAAGACAGGGTTTTAGCAGCACATGCACAGTGAGTTGATCATTTTTAATAACTGATAGAGATTTGTGTTAGTTATCACTGGTTGCAATAGCAAAACACTGGCGGTCTTTGAACGTCAGTAAAACATTAGGCCACCATTCCTAAACCATCACCATGAACAAAATCTGGGACTACTCAAAGTCTTTGTGCTATTTATCTGATTTAAACTATGTACAAAACGAAAGCTTCATATTAGAAATAAAAACATGTGCAATTGAAGAAAACCCTAACGTCAAGTGGACCGAGTATGTATGGGTTTTTATGTTTTAAATGCACATGGGGCACTGAAATGGACACTGGTACCTCATGCAATAGAATTTTTAAAATGTCCACAATGATATACTTTTAGTGTGTGGTTGTTTGGCTCTGTGTGGCCCAGCAATAGACTGGTGACCGGTCCAGGGTACACCCCACTTCTTGCCAGTTTTCATCTGGGATGGGCTCCATCTCCCCTCGTGAATAAAAACTATAGATAATGGATGGATAGATGACCGTTAAAGAGGAGCTGAGACAGATAAATCAAGTGGTTGAATAAGTGGGATAGAGAAAAGGGATGAGATAGTAGTGAATATTAAAACAGGATGAATGTTGCAAGCAAAGTTTAATGTTTTTGGATTCTGTTGACACATGTCAACATATGTTCACATTGTAAAATACGGTATCTATTAAGTAAGACAACTAATGATTTGCAGCCACAAGTTCTGGACACCTCAGTCTGATTAAAGTTCTGTAGTGTGGCCTGAAATCTGTATTTAGTGGAAAAATGTAAACCTTAATGAAATTTAACAAAATTCTTCTTCAACAGTGGCAGAAAACAATTATATCCAAGGCACAGATGCCCTGCGCCACTATTTACTTATTAGATATGCTGACCAAATTTCTATTCTGCTTATAATGAAAATGTAAAATATCATTGTTGTTTATCTATGGTCATATTCACTCAATTTTTCTTTACTTGTTAAGGGCCATCTCATTTTTATCAAAAATGCTCTCCTGATATGGCTTCGAGTGTGGCTGACTTTGGGCCCAAAAATAGGACACATTCCTCTGCAGCAAAGTGTGTGTGTGTGTGTGTGTGTGTGTGTGTGTGTGTGTCAACAGGAATACCTACAAAGCTCCTGTTGAGGGGGCTTGACTTTCTCTACGCAGGGAGTCAGGCCAAAACAAAAGGAAGGGCTGGTGTAAACTGCCTCTGGAGAATCATGGAGGTGGCTCGACTTCAATCGTGCTGAAAAGAAGCAGGTGCCATTGTTGTTATACTAAATATAACCTTGATCTTGCCTTGCAGTTTGAATGGTTAAACTATTCGTTTACATATTGAAATAAAGAAACATTATTTTAGATATAACAATACATCGTTATCTTAATTTGAACACAGACCAAAAACAAGTGCTTGCAGGAGATGTATTCCTATTAGTTTTGCTTGTGGGCTGAATGTGTTATAGTAAGATTATAATGTCACTTTTGCCACAAAGTGGCATTGCTTGAAGAGTGGTACCATCAGTACAACAGTCTCAGTCGTTATTTGGATTTACAAGTCTGTCATGTGCTTACTGTATGTGTGAAATACTGTCCAATTTGTGTCTTTTATTTGAGCTTGTTTAATTTTATTTTTAGTTCAGTTTCTTCCACTACGCCAACATTTGTTCTGTGCCTCCACAACTCACACATTGATTCCTTCAGACCTATTTGCATTAATTTAACTGACATGAAACAGTAAAATGTCACCAGAACAAAAGAACATTTAAATATAATACAATTATCAACATTAAGACTTGATTTGTCACTCATGTAATTATTTTTCAGGTTTTGCATATTCCTCAAGAGAACAAAACCCCCATCCAAAGGGTCATTTATAAATACAGTTTAATTGCAGTTTAAACAATGTCCTAACATTTTTTGAGAAGAGGATTGTAATGAATTGGGCCTTGCAGAATTTGTGAGATTTTCAATGAGGGAACCACAAGTTACTCCTAATATTTTTGTTCGCTTCTTATTTGTGTTCGCTGATCCAGGCAACAATGTGGTTGCTCAAAGAAAACACCTCACCATCTGTGAAAGTTGAATTTGCAGTTATATAAAATACCCAAACTTATGGGAAAGGAGACTTGAAGTCACAGAGGAACACCAAGCTTTTAGACCTTTTTCCCTCCTCCACAAACGATATTTACAGTACACCTCCTGAAATTCTTCACTGCAGGTGCATAAACTTTGTTCTACAAATCCCACACTGAGAAACATACAGTCACGTTTTTGTGGCAGTTTCTGCAGAGAATATGGTGCAAAACCCATTCAAGCAATTGAGGTTAAGTCACAACCAAAATGTGCACAGCTGCAAATTAGTGGGTCACTCATTTGGAATCTTTTCTAACTTTTTTTGTTTTTCATCAAGATTTTTTATAACAAAAACAAAAGTCAAGAAATCTGTACCTGCCTTTTTCCCCTTGTAAATATTAGGTTATGAATACTATATTTTGCCATGTATATCTCTTTGAAATATGAGTTAAAGCTTATGCACTTCTGAAGACTAAGTGGGTTCACATACATCCAAATTGAATCAATGTGTTTTCCTTCTACTCTTTTAATGAGCACTGGGGAGTCAAGCATAATTCCGACACCATGGAAAGAGAGGAATGCAAAAAAAGAAGAAACATAGAAAAGAATATGAAAATAGATTATTAAATGTCAAGAAGAAATTATGAAAGAAAAATATGGAAATGTGTGTGGAATCTCTGAGATTTGTGTATTAAAAAGAGGAGCAACAGGAGGTTAAATAAGCCAGAGAATAGGTATATATATGTCAAAGTGCAAAACATTTTTTTACATGGACTCGGGGGTCTCAGGTATTACCCATTAAACACTTTCATTGCAGTTTTGACCCTTCTTCCCAGGCTGTTTCATACCCATTCACCCATTGAACCTTACATTAAAATACATAAACAACTTACAAATGAAAATGACTTAAGTGACCCACATCATCATACTCATCATCATCAGGTGAATCTGTGACACACACGTAACTTAAATCACTCTGTTATGTCTTCTCAACAGCTCTTAAGCATTAATCTTATCACCAGCTATTTAGAAATTATGACTTGTTTTCAAGACTCAAGAAATGAACAGTTATTGGCTTTACCTCATTGCCTTTTTATTTATTGCTTTTGTCATTAAAAATTCTTAAGCAAAGGTTTTCACTCTTCTAAATGCCTTCATTCAAAGTGGAGAGAGGACAGAACTGATTGTAGAGGGGAGAATGACATGGGTCAAATGGTCACAAACCGGGATTTGGATAAGAGGACCTGTGACGATGACTTTAAGAAGAGAGAATTTAAATTTTACAGCCACATTCAAATTACTATTGAGCTATACCTGCAATTCTTTTAGTAACTACACATGCTGCATATGGACTTTTTAAAATACTTTTTGTATACCTAATCTGTAGTACTTTCAGTCTCCATTGACATTTCTTTTTTAACACAGTTGGAAAAAAGGCACAGTCCCCCATGAAGCTAATGAAATGTAAGTTATAAGTTTCAGTAGTTCACACTCACTGTTTGAAAGCAGGTTTAAGCTTCCTTGAATCAAGAGTAGCAACCGATTTCACAAAATAAGAAGAGGTCATAAATACCGAAACCATGCTAGCAGCAGAAAAGCTAACTAAACAACAGCAGTGTTAACAGAACCAAGAGCCCCCCACAAGAGACCCAGAAGTCACCCCATGTGGCAGTAAAAGGCCACAATGTGGCCTTGCAAGACACAAAGTGAGGGCGCAAAAAGAACTTTGCCCTGAAAAGACAGAATTCACACACACTATCACTGTTGTACTGAAAAGTACTACTAAGTATGACAAGACTTCTATCTCTCTCTTTCAATCTGTCACTGTCTGTCTTTGTCATTTCAAAATAAAAAGACTTTAAAGATTTGTTAAAACAGTATCTTCCAGTAGTTTTTTGTGATAATGGCGTGTGTTTTACAGTTTTATATAGTTAATTATTGTCTGTCTATTAAAGTAGACCTTCACTTGTCATATATTCCTGGGTAGTGTAGTTAAGCACCTTGTTCAAATTACTTTTTTATTTCTCAGCAGCTGGAGTGATTTGCTGTGCTTGTACAATATATTTAACTCTTTAAAGCCCGATCCAAGAATAAAACAAAACAGAAAATTACTTTTCTGTTTTTTTACTTTTTCTGTTTGAATTCCTTATTTGGCCTTTTAACAAAATATGTAATAAGAAAAAACAAAAGGAACATTTTAATATCAACAATTTATTACTATGCGATAAGTCAAGATTATTTTCTGTGTAGTATTCTGCCCCCTGTTATCAGGTATATATCTGATTGTGTACAATAGGATTTTGAGCAAAGTTTTTCCCATTAAATTACGCAAAAAGGTGTCAGACGCAAAACAGTTCAGAAACCGTGTGTATCAAATATGACACATTTGGCATTATAGGGGTTAAACAGGTAGCTTTCAGTTAAGAGAAAGGATCCTCAGTAATAATAGTGTCATGGTAATGAAGGCAGGGAAATTCTCGAGGACGCAGCGCACGTTGAGGACGTGCAGATCTCTGTTGCTCCCGTGGATCAACGGAGGTGGTTACAGCGTGTGTTTCTTTGCACAGCGATTAAGGGGGAGGACCAATGGCAACAAAGGAGACCGAGAGGACGGTGGCTCCTCCTCTCCCTATCTCTCCCTGTCTCTCTCTCTCTCACTGTGTGTGCGTGCTTTATACATGTATATAATCCATGAGTTGACCCAGAAAACAAACTACTCTGTCAACCGAGACGCAGCGCAGTTTGGATCCGCCGTAGGGGTGCGCGTAAACGGAGCATCAGCTGGAGGATCAAGCCTGGCAGTTATCTAACTTCCACGAACGGATTTGACTCTAAATACACCGGGTAGGTTTCCGTCGTGTTACTCTTATAATAGACAGCCAAAGAGCACTTCCCCTTTGTCCATCCCGACTTGCAATTTCTAGGTACGGTTAAATGTCTTTGCGGATCACTTTTGAGGTTATGAGAAAAAGCCTTGCGATCTTATGCCATCGAAGAAAAAAATAATTCACCTTTCCTCAGACAATTTATTTTTTTTAAAGTGCAAGTTAGATCCGTGACAGTGTAAAATTGTGAGGAAGCGCACAGACAAACGAGAATGCCGAGGAAAGTCTTATTTTTATTCGCAGTTACTGGAGTCCAATTGTTAAAAGTAGCCAGATGAGTTCATTCTGGGGTGGTGGTGTTTAAATGTCTTTGTCAAGCAGTCATTGCATGGTGTTTTTTTCAAGATCACCCCCATTTAGAGGTGGATCACCAAACAATATTATTAATTTCAACCAGTAAATGACAGTGCTGTTGTAATAGGATCTGCTCTGGCGTGTCTAGGTGTCTTACAGCAATTTGTTTAGTAATGAGTGTAAGAAAACAGGCTGTGTGCTTGTGTTGTGTTGTGTTTTGATAGTAGTGAGGGAGGAAGTGTGTGCTGTGTGTTGTGGTCAAGCATTCCTCTGTGTCCTTTTGACTGCAAGGGTACTGCTGCCCTCTGTATGAAATGCAGTTGTCATTCATTTATGGTGCAATTTAGGAGATTCAGTTACGGATCTCAGTTGAAACCAAAAAATTGTGGGAGTGAAGGCTACTAGTTTCTACATTCTGTTTTTTCCCATTTTTATTACCAAGAAGCACTCGAGCAATAGTTGTTACATTTATGGATCTCTCATGAGTGGTCATGGGAGATTCCATCTATCCTAAACAACTGTTAAGAAAATAAAATAGATTATTTCTTAAAAGAGGCCTGACAAAAAAAGTGTACTGGTTAATAGTGAATGTTCTGAACAAATAGTAGAACCTGTGATGTTTTTTGTGAGTTGTGTTAACTACTTATTGGCATAGCATAATATTCATTATCTTCCAGAATCAAATACCTTTTTGGAGCACTTTATGATGGGAGACATTATAATGTTTGCATGTCTGGCCACTGATGTCCATCCATATGTGATAGTGTCTTATCTCACAATGTTGTTTCATGTTATAGCATTTAGAGAGCAGCTTACAATGTGATACCTGTTTCACTGTAAACTTCTCACTGAAAACAATACCGAGAGCCTCCATAATTTTACATAGAAATCTTGTTATCCTCTCTTTGATATAATTTTTCGATTACCTCACAAGGAACTGCTGTAGCAGGCTGTGACAAACAGCAGGCAGTCTGATAGCTAGCTTACAACTGACTAGCTTGTGAAGTACATCTACTGCTTTAATTTGTGGGATGCTAGCATAAAGGGAGATTCCAAAGTACTCCCAAAAACAACTTAGATTGTTTAGTGTCATCATTACCATTGCTTGCAATATTGCCCCAAACATAACATCTTATTTAATGGGTGGATTAACAGGGAATGCATTAGATCATATGGATTCTGGAGAAACCTTTGTTTGGATGTTTGGATCATGTGATAAACTACCTTTACTATTCGGGTAAACTAATTAATTCAGCCCATATTTTATTTTGTTTCAAGCATGTTACTGAAGTTTGAAGTTTCCCCAAGTTTGGACTTTAAAGAAAACTCTAACAGTTCAACCCAAAACAGTGACAAAGTAGCCCACAGTAGAAGTACAATATTTGCCATCTGCTCCATATTATGAAGAAAATCATGTGACTTATTAAATGTGTGGTTACAATTGTGTTAATGTGATGTATTTCATGTCATCTAGTCATAACAACTGAACAATATCTATTATTAGTGTGCAATTGAGATAATTCAATTTGAAACAAGAAGCAGCAACAAGAGCAAATAAAAATAATTTGTCTCAAGAAAATACATACATTCCTGCTTTAACTGTTTATCACTTATGTTATTCTACTAAATTGAATTTTTATTTAAAAAAACTGAAAAAATTAAAAAGCCTATAAAAAAGATTTGTTTAGTATTGTGAAAACATTGCATTCTACCAACTTGTCCCATACCAGTAAGATGTTTGTTGGGGGCATACTGAAGGATATACAACATTTTTGATTGTCATGGATGAATAGATTTCAGTTTTATGTTTAATGGTTACTATCATAAGTCCAAGCTTCCCCTCAACTAAATCTAGCTGATGTCCAAAGTCCATAGTTGTTATGTTAACTACAAAAGAGTATCCAGCACTTTCATACTCAGAGCAGGTGTCCAGTTTCCCCTGTGTAACAAACACTGTAGATTCTCACAGAAACTTCCTCTCTTTCTGTCAGAGCAGTTTCATGAGGTGATGTTGTAATGATCAGTTTATACCGCAAACACTGAAGGCTTTCTATCAGGAAGGGATAACAAAGGGGACTTTCTAGTAGCAAATGCAGGACGAAACAAACAGCCTGTTACTGTACAGTATTACCGACTTGTGTTTTTTGTAAAGGTTTTATTAGCGAATTGTTGTCTAATGTCTAATAAATGTTCCCATATGTCTTCAGGAAGACCAAAACGCCATGGCAGAACACATGATGATGCCCATGACCCATGGCTTTAGGATGAGTATGAATGGAGCTCCACAACACAATGGACAGCCGGGGATGCGGAGTCTGCCCAATGGCCAGGTGATGCACTATGGCAGGAACCCTCAGAATAACATGGAGGCTGCCATGAGACAGAGACCAAATATGGTGGGCCCCGGAGGGATGGGCAGCCCGGTGAATGGCGCTCCCATGGCCAGCCACCACCACCAGATGATGTCCGGTAACATGATGTACAGCAGCCAGGGCCTGCAGCAGCAGCATCACCACATGCACACCCAGCAGCAACAGCAGCAACAGCAACAGCAGAGTGGACACCCGCAGCAGTACCATCCTGGTAACCTCACCTCCCAACAGCTCATGGCCAGCATGCACCTGCAGAAACTCAACACTCAGTATCACGGACACCCGCTCGCCTCGGCCAATGGCCACCATATGCCTAACGGGGCACAGTACCGAGTGGGCCCGGCCCAGCTTTCGGGCATGCAGCACATTGGTGGACCGTTGGGGCCCAACGGAATGGACATCGACCTGATTGATGAGGAGGTTCTGACGTCCCTGGTGTTAGAGTTTGGTTTGGATCGCGTTCAGGAGCTGCCCGAGCTTTTCCTGGGACAAAATGACTTCATATCGGACTTTGTGTGCAAACAGCAGCCGAGCACTGTGAGCTGCTGATCAAATCAGCTTCCGGCCGATTCGGTTTGCTTGAACTGGACACCCCCAAAGAATGACTTAGTGGCACCAGTAGCACAGCAAAAGGAGACAATCTCTCTTATCTGTTTGGGTGTTTCTGTGTGTGTATATGACAGTGTCTAATATGCCTTCACACTGACCTGCCTGAGATTAGATTAAGAGTTTTAATGAGCAAAAATGCAGAGAAAGCACCAGGCTTTTTCTGTTTTAGCCTGTGCCAGTGAGATCTTTCGCCTTTGGCCAAATAGAGGCATCCTGATGTAGCGGGCTCTGCCTGTACCCATCTGGCCCTCAGCACATGTGCCTACAGTGCAAAGGCATTTGAATAGTAGATTTCACACAATACGAGAACACAACTAAAACAGTGTCCATCTATTTGTGTTCGATATGGTGTTATCTGGCAATGTGTTTTTATCTTGGATGGCTTCTGCAACTGGTAGAAAACATCTCAGAGTTTGTAAATAACTATCCACTGAATTTCTTCCCATTGCTATTGAGAGAGGAGAATCTGTGAGTGCATATTGAAGGCTGGCTCTTCAAAAATTTCTTCCTTCTAAAAAAACAAAGATACAAATAAACTAAGTCAACTCTTTAAAGAGCTAGTAAGGGTAGAGTTTAGGTGGTACAGCATTCCTGAGTAACCTGATTACACTTTTGGTAAATTGTTATGGGCAGATTTACTAGATTGATTGTTTAACTTTTTTGTCTTTAACTTCATTCTGAATGAATATATGCTTTCATTTAATTTATGACCTTTGCTAATTTACTTTAACTGATTCATGTTGATCATTGGAAGCACATTTTCACAAGTGGCTTAAACCAACATTTTATTTGTATGTGGAAGACTCACTGCCATATATAGGGTCAAGCAAATCCTACTGAATACAATGATATCGCTGAGAAATAATCTAAACAAACTAACAGATGAAGCTTTTTTTCTTTTGAAAGTCTTTTGGAAAACTATGAAATGGTGGGTGATTGCAGGATTTAGATCTATATGTTTTTGTGCACCGGCACAGTGATGCATTTAAATCCCATTGAATTACACCCTCTTCCATAAAAAACTGCTCAGTGTCATGAACCTAACAGAAGGCTGTGTAGTGGGGGAGATTTTGGTGCGTGGACATATTGTGTGGACACAGCACTCACTGCCAGCATTTGGCTTAATCATTGTTTAAAACTGCCACTACCTGTGGAATTGATTTCATCACACTGGACCAGCAGGCGAGGAGCGAAGTTTCCATATATTACCTTACTCTGCTGCTTTTTAAGTGATTAGGTTTAAATGACGTGTTTTCACACGTCTTGTCTTAATTGAGGTCAGTTTGCTCATTCTCCGGTGACTCAATAATTATAAGACAGACATGTTCTGTGGTTCTTTGTTTAAGCACAGTTGGTTATTAGGTTTTTTGCCTAGGTTTGCTGCTTTGTTGCTGCAGGCCAGTTGTGTGAGAACCTACTGCACACGTATTTGTGGAGCTGTTGGAGGGGTTAGTGCTGCTCCAGTGGACTGTGTTAATCTGCTCCATTGCAACTCTACTGCTGTCCCCGTCTCCCTGGAGATGTGCCATCTCCGAGCTCTTGATTCAAACAATGGGCATTGTAACGCTGTGATGTAAAGACCAGCACGAGTCGCCGCTCTTTCACACTTCTGGGCTGGTTAAAATGCAGCCAGACAAAACTCACAGTTGGATATGGAAGTACAGTGGCCTGATTACTGCTATATCGGTAAATGCAGCCTTTTTGTGTATTGTATCTTTGTACTGTAGACTAGAGGTGAAGTTGATCTAAATACTTTTAAGGTACTTTGAAAAAAAAGAAAAAGAAATATCGTCAGATGTAAATGTAAATCAGTGGCTGATTTCTTTTTTGTGTTGACCAGAGGTTATATCCTACATTTTTACGGTGTGTAGATACAGTATACCAATGTCTTTGGGTGCAGGGCCTTAAGCTTTAAGACCAAGTAGATTGCATGTTTAAGCAAGTGTGAGGGTTGCCACCACTTTACTACAAAGCTGCTGAGAATGTAAAGAACACTGCTTTGTGGGAATTTGTCCTAAAATGGTAGATAAATGCGTGAGATTGTACTCCTGGTTCCAAAATTACACATCATTCATTTGGGTAAACCCCCACGCAACCCATTGTCCCATCTTGTCCTTTCCCAGTTCCTTAAAGCTTTTGTAATGTTATTGATTCTATTTTAAAGAAAATGTATTTATTTTCAAATAAAGTATTTATTTAAAGAGCTGTTTATTGAATCTCTCTGAATTTTCTCTTGGCGGTCTGAAGTAGCACAACATGACACGCGGCGTGAATGGACAAGTTCCGACTTGTGCAAGCAGCCTAAAAAATTGACTTGAGATGTTGCTCCTTTGTTTTATTTGCCTGAGTTGTTGGTTTTAAACACTTCCCCACCCACAAGAAGGGATGAGCAAACACAAGAGCAAAGTACAGACCACATATCCTAAACAGCAATGAGTCACCACTCTGTCAACAATGAGCTGGTCAAAACAATGTTGTGTTGTTCACTCTTTCTTCCAGTCAGTACGTTTCAGCTTGAACTGCATCCAGTAGCCACAGCATTGTTCAAAATTGCATCAGTTAAGTGGCAGTATTCCATTTAATATTTAATGTAATGGTAAACACATATATCCATGTACTAGTTTGCTTTTGGAAACTCATTTTCCTAAATGTATTCCAAACAGCAAACAGTAACTTTCTCACACTGACTGATGGAATGAATCATTTGTGAAGTCATGCCTGTTTTGCAAAACGGGTTATACTCTCCCATAGAATTTAATAGATGGCTCACTGGCTACCTAAAGCATGATCTGTTTTTATTACACAACATGTAAAAAAAAAAAAAGCCCAGCATTTTGAAATCAAATAAATAATATCATAGGTCATCAGTAGTTGGAATACACTATTACATTTTTAACAAATACAAAAAGTGTAGTTTTTTAAACAATGTGTGAAAGAAAAAAAAATATGTTACCCTTGTTGCTTAGATAAAAATTAAGATAGTATGTAGCATCAAGGTACTATTAATGAAATGTTCTTAATTAAGTGATGATTATCATGTGTGAGCCTCTCTGCAAAAGCAGTTTTATTATTTTGCTGGTTGGAATCAGGAGCAGCATGGTGGTGTGGTGGTTAGCATCTTCACCTTACGGCATTGAGTTTGCATCTTCTCCTTGTGTCTGCATGGATTCTCTGGGTACTCTGACCTCCTGCTTCCCAAAACACGCATGTTAGGTTAATTTAATTGTATCCGTGCGGCCCTGCGGTGAACTGGTGACCTGTCAAAGCCGTACCCCGCCTCTTGCCCATCGTCAGCTGGGATAGGCTACAGCCCCCACCCTTGTGTGTTTACACAATACTAAGAAGGAAATACATGAACAATGATCTTAGAAAAGCACTTTTTAAAAGGGAGGGTTGCAACAGTATTTGCCAAGTAATTGGAGCTCATCATTGCACACTGAAAAAGGAAGACAACCCAGTAAGTTCACCCCAGGGTCAGACCGTAGAATGCTCCAATTTCACACTTTAAAGGCAACAATTGAACATTAAATGTTTAAATTTTGTAACAGAACTATTTGGAAAATACTGAGTAACCATGACTTTTCATAAAAAAGGAATATAGCAAAACAGCTTATGTTTGTGAAGTTGCATCTCAAAACCCCACTAGAAATAAGCAAATATCAAATACAGAATATCAGCAAAAGCACCTTATAAAGACCATCAACACAGCAGTGGAGAGACGATCAATTTAACTTGTTTTACATTCAAGAAACACATGAATCATGAAGCCAATATCTACAATGAACACTACGAGGAAGTGTTTCACACTGTTACGGGCAACCTGCTATGACACAAATGTTATTGTGTGTAAACAAATGTCTGCAAAATGCAAATTACCACAAAGACAAAGGCCTAATCCCCTCAAACAGAATTTTAAGGTTAGTTACAGCTGTTCTTGTTTTTCTGTTTAATGAAAATTTACTTCATTCTTGACATTACTTTGAACATTTTTGGAGGACATAGTGGAATTAATTCTGTGCTGTTTCCCATGACTTATGTGAAGGCTGGAATTTTGTTCTTGAGCTTTTTCGTGTTTTTTTCTTAAAATGTCTCAGAGCTAAAGGTTTGTAGACTAACGAGAAAATAACTTTGCAACAGTCAGTTGAAATTTGCAAAAAATATACCTGTCCAGTATGCTGGTCGTTGTTAAAAAAAATGTCACACATGCCAAAATTAAATTAACAGTTAGTGTGAGATCACTAAGCCTTTAAGCAAAATTTAAGCTTATGTCATGCAAATTAAACTTGGAGAATTTGCGAAAATCCCATCAACAGAACTCCTTGCTTTTTATGCTGGTGCAGGTCTTCGTGACTGTAGTCAATTTTCCATTCATGTGATCATCCATCAGAGTAACATTTAATTATGATGCTGCATTATTTTCAAAGAAAGAAAGCTAAACTTGCATTAATCAAAATATAGTATGTTAGGCATAACAAAGGATCTTTTTCTAGTTTAGCCATTTTGTTGAAACCTGTGTAACACACCTTTAAGATGAAACTGATGCAAACTGACAGCTGTCTGATTCCAAAAAGTGCCTGAATTTTCTTCTTTGTAAATTAATGCTGTACTGTGCAAAACACTGTGATACTCGCACTGCACAACAAATTGTAATTTAACTGGTGCTGCTGGAACTTACACCTTTGTCCTTTTCCTGAACTCGTTGAGTTTTCTTAGAAAAAGCATCATGAGTTTAAACCATCCAAACAAATGAAGGTTAGAAACTGCAAATATAAAGCAATACATGGACTTTAAAGCAATTTCTTGTAACTCACAGACAGAGGGAAACAAAGAAAAAATGTAAAAAAATCCGTAATGACTAAAGGGAAATCACCCTTGTTGAAGACATCTTCAAATATGCCTCACAGGAAACCTCACAAAGCTCCTGGTTTTAGTATTTAGTATCTGAAGACTAAAACCAAGGCTAGATTAATGAAAACACTTTATTATTATTATTATTATTATTATTATTATTATTAATAATAATAATAATAATAATAATAATAATAATAATAATAATAATAATAATAATAATAATAATAATAATAATAATAATAATAATAATATGTGTTTATCAATTGGTCAACTCCTAGCTTATAACAGTGTAACTTTTTTTCTAAACATGTAACAACTCAACAAACCTATGCCAAATTTATTCTGAGCTCAGGCTGAAGGGAGCGTGTTATCTCCTCTAAACATAAACAGGAAACTGTATCATTGAGCCACTTCCTATAGCAAGGCAGGGTAGTTGATATACACTTTCAGAATAAACCCTGCAGCTCTAAACATACAAGGCATGACAACCTGCTTTTTGTTATGTCATAGGCAAATCAAATATATGGATAATGTTTAACTATTTATTTGTTTGTCTTTTTTTAAATCACCCCAACCCTCATAGATTGATCTTAGGAGTATATAAAATGATTACATTAAGTATTTGTTGTTCTGGATATCCTGTTGTATCTTGGTTGGAACATAAAAACGTTTTTCCATTTGTACAATTCAGCAATTAAAGTACTTAAAGTACATAAACTTCTAACACACATATCTTTTTCAGCTCATATTACACATTCAGTAGTATGTATAGTGCAGGTCAAATATGTTGAATAAAAAGACCTTGTGTTTTCTTATGTTTTCCTTGTTAGCTGAGTCATACACTGTATACTCGGCCATGCAAGCGAAACTACTGTGTGGTGATAGGTTTCTGGTTAGCAGTATGTTAGTTTGCAGCTGCACAGGGAATATCATTGTGTTTAAGTTACAGGGGGATTTTTCTTTAATGGTTTCTCAGAGCAAGTAGTTTTGGATATGTTAAGCAGCTGCTGTTTATTTCCGAGTTGAAAGATTACAAAGTGGAACAGTGATGGGTTAAGATGCAAAACAAAAAGAAACACTACTTGGTTTGATTTAATACCATCTTTCACATTTAACTGTTTCTTATTTTTCATCATAGATAATGACAAACTATTTTATACATTTGCCATCAAATACAAAAAGGATATCTGATTATCGATCAGGGTATCAAAAATGTATTCAGGAAGTCATGAAATAAAGAAAAAAAAGTGAACACCTTCATAAGCTTTATAGTTTATTATGTGCAAGTCTGGGACAATTTGCGTTGTATCGAATAAAGTGTGGTCTTTGTTTTGTATCTCAGCTCTTATCTATTTTCAGTCTCGTGACTAAATCCACTACCTTTAATTACAAATCATTTAATTTCTGTGAGAGTTTACATATTCAATTCAATTGAGTTTTTTTTAAGTATCCAGCATCTCTTTGATCCGATCCGTGAATATGATCATGCAAAAGGTAACTGAAAATAAAATTGTCTTTTTAAGCAGTAGAAACTTCTAGCAGAACCAAATTAAGGAGGGACGGCCATTTGCCTACACCAGCTGTGGTTTGGTAGAACAGGAAAGAGGAACAACAAATACGAAAGCAGCTCAGGATACCTGAAGATAAGGAGAAAGAAAGTGTTTTACAACAACAAAATGTCTTGTATGTGATGAAAGGGCAAAAAAGAGAACAGAGTGAGGAAAGGGGAATCATTGGAGCTCCCCCAGCAATCTAGCATAACTATAGGATGTTTCAAGGTAACATAAGCCATCCTTAACCATAGGTTTGGTCAAAAAAGTAATCCCAAAAGTATAAAGGATGTTTACTCCCTGGACAAGTATTGGTAACTTGTTCCACAAGAGAAGTTTGAGAAACTCTAGGAACCACATAAAGGCCTGTATGTAAGTATGAGAGGAATTTATGAGGCCATTAATATAAGATCAAGCTTGGTCATTCAGAGCTTTTGCTGAGCAGTATTTTAAAGTGTAGTCTGAATTTAATTGATATACAACAAAGACATGCTAAACAGAAGAAATATCATCTCTACCTCAAACTTTTATGAGAACTTTGGCAGAAGCATTTTGGTTTAGCTGGAAGCTAAGCCCAAAAATAATGATTACAGAGCTCTAAAATCAAACTATTTAATGCATGTACTAGTTTTTCTGCATCACTCTCATATAAGATGTCCCTAGATTTCGAGTTATTACAAAGGTGAAAGAAGACATTCCTGTTTTATATGTGAGTCAAATGACAAATTCTGGTCAAACATAACTCTAAGGATCTTCATTACAGAAACAGAGGCCAAAGAAATGCCATCTAGAGTAGCTAAAAAA